GCAGATGTGCTCTTCCAAAATTTTGAATTTTATGGCATTTTAGTCTGTGTTCTGGTGTTAGGGTTTGGCTGTATTGAAATCTGAAAATGCATGCTTTCTTTAAACTTCTGCGCATCAGAGTACATAGTTATAAAAAGCAAGGATATTTTTACCAGATTTTTGCATTTCTTGACCACTTGGTCAAGTGTTCTGCTATTGGTTGGTCCTCTATTAATTTATAGTCTACTAAGATAAGTTATTTACCTTTGCCCTTCATCTATGATAATTAATTTTTGTGAAAAATGCAATTTAAATATCTATTGATAAAGAAAATTATACAAGAATTCTTATGATATAACACACACACACACAGAGATAGAGAGAGAGAGAGATGACGTTAGACCTAGCAGCTAAGTTGCAGTTGGAATATTCTTTTGACCATACAGGAAAGTTTAGCTACTTTCAACAATGCTTTTTTACATTATACTAACTATATAACTTACCAAGTAGCCTAGCACTGCCGTACACAGATTTCAGAGGACGAATCATGATGATTCCTTGGTCTGTATGTACAACACGGTATCTTCAAGTCAAAAGTTTGTATGAAATAAATCTCCAACAGATTGTCACATATGTTTTTAAAAGATCCCAAGATTTCATACTCTGTACAGTCATGATCTACGAATAACTTTTTTTCGGTATGTCAACGTCAACAGTACGATCGCGACGTCATCAATTTACACGTCATCGATTTGGCAAACCTCACGAATACACACCATTCAACTCGTTGGATAAAGCAAATATCAAAACACACAATATAGATATCCTCTATTTATCTCAAACGGGTGGTGGATACTACCCATTAGATAAACCTATGCTTTTATCCACGAATTGGTGCTTTATCAATAGGACTTCCGGTTTCGACACAATCCCCCGGCCTTGCTTCAAGATGTAAATTTATCGAAACTTCTTATTGTGAAAGTTCTGTGTTATCAAAAAAATGTTAATGGGCAAAAATGTTCGTTAAAAACAAGAAAAAAATACACTTCGGTAAAATGTCAAAATTTATCAATGCACTGGGTATGAAATGAAGGATGCTAACCTACCCCCCCCCCCCAAACTCCCTTCACACACACGTTAGACCTAGCAGTTAAGTTGTAGTTGGAATATTCCTTTGACCATGCAGGAAAGTCTAGCTACTTTCCAGGCCCGTAGGAAGCAATTTCAGTTGGGGGGGGGGGGGGGGGGGTACAGCCATACATTTTCAGTTGAGGGGGCACTATCAACTACCAAAATTTCTTGACCAGAAAAAAAGAAGCTCATCAGACGTTTTTATTGAGGGGGAACAAGCATATATTATCTATGTTTTCTATAGTAATCTATATATCGGCAAAATTATTGGGGGGGGGGGGCACGGCCCCCCGTGCCCCCCCCCCCCCCCCGGTTCCTACGGCCATGCTTTCAACAATATACTAGCTATATAACTTACCATGGATCTGCAAATAGCCTAGCACTGCCGTGCACAGAATGATTTCATAGGACGAATCATGATTCTTTGGTCCTTATGTACAACACTGTCCAGTAAAAAGTTTGTGTGAAATAAATCTCCAACAGATTTTCACTCATGTTTTTGAAAGATTCCAAGATTTCATATTATACATTTATTGCATGATCGTGAGGGAAATATGAAGATTTATTCAGCCAAGAAAAATCATATTCCCCGAGGGCTTCGCCCGAGGGGAATATGATATTTCTTGGCTGAATAAATCTTCATGTTTCCCGAACATTCATGCAATAATTGTTTGTAATACCAAAACAAGCAAAAGCTTTAAAAATAAACATAAACTTTAAATTCGGCACCGCTCTTAATTTCACTTTTCAGTTTACAGATTTGTGACGTCAACTACCCTCATTTTTTTTCCTATCAACGAACGATAACTATTGCGGGAAAATTCACTAGGTCTCCGAAGAGGTTGAATATGATGAAAAGCATGACAACGACAGGGAAATATGATGTTTTATGGCCCTGTCACGTGAAAATCTAGAACCAATCAGATAACGCGTTTTATAGAATAATTATAATAAGGTATAATAATCTGTATACAGTCATGATCTACAAATAACTTTCTTTCGGCATGTCAACGTCAACAGTGCGACATCATCAAATTTCGCGTCATCAATTTGGGTTGAAATAATTCATAGTTTCACAGGGATTATCTCAAAAACGAAAATCATATGAGATAAATAGAACATCTATCATTGTGTGATTTGATATTTGCTTTATCCAACTCGTTGAAATGGTGTTTATTCGCTCGGCAAGCCTCGCGAATATACACCATTCAGCTCGTTGGATAAAGCAAATATCAAATCACACAATATAGATATCCTCTATTTACATCACGGGGGGGGGGGGGGTATATACACACCACTTTTGATTCACTTCAAAAAATTAAATTCAGTGTAAGTAGAATTCATATAGAGGACTGAGGTGTTAAAACTGAATTCTCGTACAATCCGCACACGTGGACATAAAATCCTTAGAAAAATAGTTTTACTTAATATAAAAATACAATAATATAATATAAAAACAAAACAAATTAGTAGTCAATATTTATTCTGCATAAATTAATGAACGACTTAGTACTTCAGGGATTCAATATACATGTATCAATCATATATGCAGACATAACCGATGTTTGTTTTTTTTTCAAGCTCGAATTAAATGACCTGGGTTGCAAAGAAGAAAGAAGGGGGAGGGGCTTAATATTTCAAAAATTCCTTATTCATCTTCATTTAAAGCAAATGTAAAGTTTTAAGATTGTGATAAATATAATGTAAATTACATTTTTAAAGTAAAAAATATTTTGAAGCTTAGCATTTATGTGTGTATTTGTATATTTATTGTATTGTTTTTGTCCCAAGTCTGAAAGACGCTGTGAGAAATGTAACTTACGGAGAGAGGGGATGCAGATTTTCCGCTTTAAATTCAAAACGTGCCGTTTAAAGAAAAATTACAAAAATTTTTCAAGATTATTTTGACAACCAGTTACACAAAGAAAGTTTTTTTTCTGAAAATTAAATGATAGGTTTTTTCAAGAAAACTTTAATTTGAAAAACACGCATTTTTTAATGTTAAGATGTACCATAGTTTTTCAGTTTTAATTCTTCAAAATTGTTATTGTCGATGTGACCTCAACAAAATTACTTTGTTTGTATGTTAATTATTTAAACGAACGAGACACCGAATTTTGACAGCTAGGTTGACCAGACACTTTTGAAAATAAAGAATTTTATAGTTCGTCAGCGCCGTGTTTTGTGCCTTGTACTTACCACTTTTTTCCCCAAATGCTCGGAAAACTACTAAAAAAATTATGTACATTTGAGTGATTTTTTTACGATTAAAATGTAATATTTAGTGGCTTAATAAATGGTTATTTTTATATCAACTTTATCAATTAAATACTTATATTTCGAAAGTATACTCGATCATTCAGCCTTTTTTCTGTCGTATGCCGTAGGACCATACTATACGCCCATTCAAATCTAATTCTTATTTAACCAAGATTTAAAAAATAAATATCTATTTAAAAAAAATAATAAGATATACTCAGATATGATGAGCATTTGCTAAATTTTTTCAGCGCATCATTGATCAAAATATAAGTGTTGTCTACGATTTTACCGGACGATCTTTGCATTAATTGTGTACTTTTATAACCATAATAAAATTATGATAAACATAAAGTACATGTACAAAGCATCATGAGATTAAAAACATAATTTATTTTTTTACAGACCAGATATTTTGATGATTTTTTGCAAATTTCATTTTTATTTCTATCTAGAAATATCAATTATAATTATATTTCATTTCCATCTTTTAATTTATTTGTAATAGGCGAAATAGAGTTTAACGTCAAAAAGGAAGCAGATTGTTTCTTACTCAAAACATAATTAACACCTGTTGTTCTTATATCTTGTTTTGTATTGTATTTACATTGACAAGTCTAATCTACATATGGCCATCCATATGGTGTTCCGTTGGGGCCACTCGCACCTTCGCACTCTCGCCTTTAGGGCGAAGATGATGCGAGAGTGCGAAGTTGCGAAGGCGAAGGAGCGAAAGTCGAAGATGCGACGGCGAAGCGCGAAGTTGCGAGGGCGAAAGTACGAAGGCGAAGGAGTACTACAGTAGTATCGCTCCTTTGCAACTTTGCATTTTCGCCCTAGCACCTTTGCATTTTCGCCCTAGCACCTTTGCATTTTCGCCCTTGCACCTTCGCATTTTCGCCTTTGCCTTTTATGTGGAGTTCTCTATCGTATGCTTACAATGTAGATCGAAGTATATCTACTGCATATATGCAAATTTATTTTACACCAGGATATATCAAAATCAAACTTTTTACAGTTTATGGATCATAATAAAATCTTAATTATGTTCCTTGTCCTTTAGTTGAGACTGTAATGCACACCACCACTACGAGTACATATGTCTCTATAATTTTGCACCAGTTACAACAATCATTTACCATCATTACATTATATAATCTACCATTGTATATAAAATTAGAGTGCCCGGTGATCAATTACACTATTTCTCGTTTCATAAAATAGCAAGTGTATATTCATTAGTAAAAACGTCATTGTACAATGAATTTCAACCATTGCTTATCATCCATTTTGGCGCCGTCACACTAATCTAGCGCATGCGTACCAATAACATCCAAGAGCCCACTAAAATTAACTCATAACGATAAAGAGCTCCAAAGTAGTAAAGTGCGAAGTTGCGATGTCGAAAATGCGAAGTTGCGAAGGCGAAAGTGCGAAAGTGCAAAGTTGCGAAGGCGAAAGTGCGATATTAGTATCGCTCCTTCGCCTTCGCATCTTCGCCGTCGCATCTTCGCACTTTCGCTCCTTCGCCTTCGCAACTTCGCACTCTTGCATCTTCGCCCTAAAGGCGAGAGTGCGAAGGTGCGAGTGGCCCCAACGGAACACCATACATCCATATACTTTATTATGTCTTAACCTCCTTCGTGATCCTTTTCCCTTTCTGGAAAATACAGAGAAGAAACTTCTAAAACAGAATATTAGCCAATTGTCTGCGGTTTTGCAATACACTTGCTGATTGGTCGAGCGCTTTATTTAAAGTTTAACCAAATCAAAAGAAAGAAAGAAAGAAAGGAATACCAAATTTTGAAAGATCTCTGAGGAGCAGATCAGAAACACTTGGCTGGTGGAGAGTATGAAATGATGAAATGCATACAAAACAGTGAATTTGATTGTTATTAAACACTTGCATATAGTTTCATTCTTTGAATTTTTATTGGATGTAAATCAGATAAAACATAACTTGTTCTTCAACGTATCAATAATATGAAATAATCGAAAAACAAACACGGCGTCCTTCTTTTTTTCAAGCAGCAATATTCGCAGCTTGCTGAAACGTTTACCATTTTGTTATGAATTTTTTTTTTGTCAGTAAATCTTCATTATGAGTGAACTCATGTTTCCAAATGATTTTATTTACTTAATGTCTTTTGCTACATTATCCCAATGCATTAACGATTTTATAGCCATTTGTTTTGGTGTAATATGTAAGAAAACTGTGGTGAAACCGAGGTTTGTCGAACAAAACATCTTAATATATGCATGGCTTTTATGATATATGTACTTTATCAATCGATTCTAAATTTCAGAATAACTTATCAATGACATCCTCATGCATACTTGCTGAGAAAATTGAATCGATATCTTATTGGATTAACATAGTCGGACGCATTGAACCTTCACTGGAAAACGCATTTAACCACCATTATCCTGCCTCTGAAAAAAATCTTGAAATTTCATTGGTTGAGAAGAATTCTGTATTAAACCATATTATGCTGCCTACACGTGACCTAACAACCACACATCAAATCAATATGCCCCCTCCACGTGACCTACATGTACCCACCACGCATCAAATCAATACGGAGATTACGCCTCGCCCAAAATGTATTTTTTCACAATTTGAATTACCACTACATGTATCAGACTAATTGGACCACTTTGTTAGACATATTAAACCACCATTAACAGACATAGAACCAAACCTGAAATACTACCACTAATAAACAAATTAAACAAGGACTGTTAAACACATTGAAACACCCATGCACGCATTAAACCTATATTTTCGAACGCTTAAAATTACCATAGTTATATAGTGAAATGCATTTAAGCACCACTGACAGAGCCAACAATGTCAGATGCATTAAAACACCGTTTTAACGGACGTATTGAACATCTATTGTCAGACACATTGAACTATATTGTAAGACACTATGTCTTAGATTCACTATTGTCGGACAAGGTTTCGCTTGTGTTACAGAGATTTGAACGTCATAGATTTCTAATGAATTCCATAAAGAAAATTACACTGAATGTAAATATATGATATTTAATTAATGAATTATCCACTAAAATTTAGCAGTTTTGATTTTTCTGAAATTCACAGGTCCAAAAAAGCCCTAAGTGAACCTTGCTAGTTTGAAATAATTGGAAAAAATTCAATACTATTTTCATCTTCTTTTTGTTTGCATCATTATAAAATCTCAGTAAATACAGTAATTATGAAAATATTAATTTTGACATGTCTGTTTTCGTGATTTCGATAGATAAAAAAAACCGAATTCATTGCCATTTTAAAACAACTTCACTTGCTTGACATTCGCAAGTTCGTAACTTAATACTAGTATGTTGCTGGCAAACTTTAACATGTATAAACTCGATGGAATTTTTGAAAGAAAAGTAACATAATGAAAATAATTATATGTCACCCCACTTTGCTTGTGTTGAAATAATTACTAAAAAGTTGAAGATAAGATTGAAAACGTGAAATATCAAAAACCCGAACATGCAAAGTAGAAGTCTGACATGCTTCAATCAGAATAAGCTCTCCTGAGTCATCTTTGAGTGAGATTAACATTATCTTAATTGTTGCTTTCTATTTATAATTAATTGTTTTGAATTGTATTTACCTTGGTCTGTCTATCCCCCATCTGACCATTCTATTATTGGAGTTATCTACCTCTTAGTTGATGTGGTGGAGTGTGACCTGACCCCACGATCGTAATGTACTCTTAGTACAAAGTCATGATTTAATTTTATTTTAAACTGAGACATCTAAAACACAATAATATCAGCATTTTTGCTACTCTGCTATATACTTGCTGATTGGTCGAGCGATGTATCAGTAGAGTCCCCAAAAACTTCTTAATAAGAAAAAAAAAATCGAATTTTGATAGGTTTATGAGGATTTGAGCGTATCAGAAACACTTGCTTAGCTGAAAGTATGAAATGCATGCAAAAGAGTGACATTGCCTATTATTGGTATTCAACACTTGTTATGCCATTGTTTGAATTTTTTATTGAATGTAAATTGGATAAAACATAACCTGTTCTACAACGTTTTCAGTACAAAAAAATTGTCGAAAAGATTATTGATTGCTTCCTTCATTTATTATATAGAAATAAATTGTTAAAATGCTAATATTGAGTACATTTACGATGCCATTCATTTTCAAGTCAAAGACTTCGCCACTTTTATTTATTTTTACTGCTTTTAAATCATGTTTATATTTTGTCAATAATTTACACGTGTGTATTAACTCATGTTTCCCATGGTTTTATTTACCAAAGCACTTTATTGTATTTTAATCCCGACATGCATTTATTTTAAATACTAATGATCTGTTACAATAGATAGTTAATCTCTGGCCAAATTGAGACTGTCGAACAGGAAATCTAGGTATACATATGTATGCATATTTTTTTTTAAATAAGAGGTCTATTTTTTCATTAAATTAAACAACTATCAGAACATATTTATCCTTATGCACACATGCTAGAAAAAAATTCAATTTAATTTCTGTTTACTAATGAAAATGTTGCTTATTGCTAAATGAGCAAGTTACATGTCAAAAAACAAATAATAACAAACTAATATTTAAAGAAAAATTCAAAGATGATATTTAAATGAAATGTCGGTCTCTGGAAAATCCGCACAATATGTGAAAATAAAATACTGAAACAGCTGCACCTGACAAAGTTATTTCTTAAATAATTGTTTTTATAGAATTAATTTACCGAGGCTGTCAAATCAAATCATGCGTATTTTAATTGTTATTAATTCTGGAAAACGGATGCTACTGCTTTAACTTCTCTGCAAATGCCTTTTTGTTTAGGCATATATTATCTATTTTCTTTAACAAAAAATGTCCCTGATTTCTTCACAAAATTTGAATTCCACAACTGTCATTTGCATTGAATTATCATTGTCAGTCGCATTGATTCACCATTGACATACATTATTGAATAATTATCATCAGACGCTTTGAACCGCTATTGTCAGACTATTGAACCACGATTTCTATATGCATTGCAACACTATGGTCAGTCGCATTGTCGCACTCCTGTCAGACGCATTCAATACTATTGTTCAATGAACCATGCACTTTTATAAGACGCATTGCACACCATTGTCTGTAGCATGGAATCATCATTATCAGACGCATTGACAAATATTGTTATACACATTGAACTACTTTGTCAGACGTATTGCACCACCATTGTCAGAAAAATTAACTATATTGCCATACACATTAAACCACTACTGTCAGAAACATTGAACCACCATTTTCGGACGCAGAGAATCACTATCCTAAACTACAAAAGTAAAACTGTCTCAAGACCACAAAAGTACAGACTGTCAAAATTTCTAATCAGTATTACTTTCAAAATAATGTTGAAAATAAAACAAAATTTCATCCTATCTTTGTATTAAAAATCATTTGCGGTACCATTTTGATGCACCAGATTGCATTTCGACAAACTGTGTCTCTTCAGTGATGCTCATGCCGAAACGTTGGAAATCCAAAATATTTAAACAAAAAAACATTTGAAGAGCTGAAAAAGGGGGACTGGAGCCAAATACATATTTCAATATTATACAAACTTTTAATTAGCAAAAGATATTTTAAGTAGTAGGAAAAATCCCACTGCTCAAAGTCCCTGAATGCCGAGTACCGGTCTTCATCCGCAAGTGGTGGCGTCTCAATATGTTTCAAAGAAATTCTCGAAGTGACGTTAAACAAACATTCACACCTTTCTGCACCTACTGATGAAAACCGAATCCATGTATATATGTACGGTCTGCTAGCCACACCCTCCATCTTCACTTATCTAAAATGTCAGTTTCAACATTGATGTCCAATGAGGTCTTTGTCTGAAGATATCATGTTGAATCGTCTTAGCTACAGTATATGCCTACGTTCGACTGCCCAGACTGTACAGAACTGTAGCTCTTAGCCAAATAACCAGAGATCCAACAGTTTTAACTGTAATACTCATTGCGCACAAAAGGATGTGCACTATTCAAAGTGATATATCCATATTTTAAACTACCTTCTCAAAATGCTCATAATCAAACGTTGCATATATTTTCTTGCTTCTTTAAAAAAATCCTTATCACTGTTTTCAATAGCTGGGCCTGTAGGAAAGACAATTGAAAATTTTGCCTGTTTCATTATACTCATGCAGAGTGGCACCAAACTTTTACGTCTTGTATAACTTGAATATATTCATACTTTGCCGTTCTTTCATTGTTGTTTCAGATGATCATATTTACAATATTGATGAAGTTTTTGAAAAATTTGGTCGTTCTGCTATCCACTGTGTTAATATCACTGTTTTAAATGTTTTTTGGATGCCTGAAACTGTAGTTCGCAAGTCGTCCAAGCAATTTTTCTTTGAAGATTATATAGCACAATTGATCCTCAGGAAGCTATTTACCATCAATTTTTTTTCCAAATTTATAATTGTTTAATCAAGCTTATGGAGTGTTTCCTCCACTTTTCTAACATTTCAATTTCATTGAAAAAAAATTTAAATATTCTAATCAACACCTACTGATAAATGATAATTATAAGTGGGTTGATATGAATTATAACTAATGCCGTGACTTTCAATTTTAATCTTACATGGATATATCGTGAAATGATGTAAATATTCCTGGATCATGTCCTAAGTGATATAAAAATTTTATTTTACGAAGAGGGATTACATTATGTAGCTCAAAACAGTTTTTTGATTGGTGTATATGATCTGCATGATCTGAGACATCAATATAAGAGTGAGTCATACGTCATTAACATTGTCTTTTTAGTCTAGTTTTTAAAATTTCCAAATTTTTATTATACAAAGAAAACAAGAGGCCCAAGGGCACCTGAGTATAATAAAACAATTTAGATGATCCATAAAGTATAAAATAAACTAATAGATGAAGCTTTGTTGCCCAAAAGCAAAGAGAAATAGGATGATCAGGATCAATGAAATAATTAGTTAAGTATTCAGTAACAACTCATAAATTTAAATTCTATTCTATCCCCAATTTATCACTATCACCATGCAGACTGTTAACAAACTATTACTTCTTTTGTACCACTTTTAACCCCATATTATGACTTCTCTTATTGGCCTCTCTTGGTCTTTGAAGAACATTTAATGAGATAAGTTATTTTTGTCTCATTTTGATTTATTCATTATTTACAAGTCTATCTGATCATTAAAACTATAAAAGTACTTTTTTTTATTTTACAATATCATTTTTTGCATAATTCTCTTAGTCTAATGACTTTCAAATACATTATTTAAAGTGATTAATTATCAAAAGTGAATGGCAAAGGGGAATAACTTCTTTCAGTAGAATACAAATTAATAGAGCCCTGGCCAGGACAGGAACACTTGACCAAATGGTCCTGATGTTCAAAAATCTGGAAAAAATATCCTTCCTTATTAAAACTTTTATACTGTATGCCCTCGACTTGCCAAGGAGCAGAGAAGATTTTCAAAGAAATAATACATTTTCACTACAGATTCAACACAGCCCTATCCTAACACTAAAACCCATGTCCCAGGGTCATGAAATTCACAAATTTGGTAGAGGTACCCTCATCATCATAACTATGCACTTATGTAGTTGAAGATTTTCAAAGAATTAATTAACACATTTTCACTATATTATCAATATAGCCCCCCTCTCCCCTGTAAAACACCAAAACCTGTGACCACACGTTTAAAAAAAAATGTAAGAAGCACAACTGTTCATCATAACTAAGCACTTTGTTTATCGGCTCAACACTAAGGGGCAGACAGGATTATTTAACAGAAATAATGCATTTTAACTGTATTATAAAAAAAAATTATGCCTTTTCATTATATTATTAATAGAGCCCTCCCCCTAACCCAGGGGCCATGAAATTCACAATTTTGAAAAAGACATCCTTGTGTATCATAACCATGCACTAAGTTTGTTTAAATAATACCCAGGAGCAGAGAAAAAGATTTTCAAAGAATTAATGCATTTTCACTATATAATCAAAAGAACCCCGCCCTAACACCAGAACCCCTGACCCAGGGGCCATGAAATTCACAATTTTAGAAAAGGCACTATACCATTGCTTATCATAACCATGCACTTAGTTTGTTTAAATAATACCCTGGAGAAGAGAAGAAGATTTTCAAAGAAATAATGCCCTTTCACTATATGATCCAAATAGCCCTGCCCTAACACCAGAACCCCTGACCCTGGGACCATGGGGCCATGGATTTGGCAATTTTGGAAGAGGGTCCAATACTTATTACAACCATGCCAATAGTTTGACTGCTTGGTGTCCAGGTATAAAGAAGAAAAAAAAATCAAATACAGCAACATAGAAAATCATTTTTTTTTTTTGCCTTTTCAGAAGTTTTGAAAAGACGCACCTCATTTATAAATATGTAATCAAGATTAAATGGAAGATGTTTAAATGCTCAGTTAAATAAATAAATAAATAAATCGTAATTATTTCATAGAAATGCATGAAAAGCGTGCTAACCCGGTTTAGAGGAATAAATTTTCATTTTCTTTGTTTAAATTTTTTTTGTATTTTTGAATTCATTAAAAACTCAGGGGAAAAAAACATAACTGGGTTTGCTGAGTTTGACCATAATCGAGCGTGATTGGGCAGTTGGTATAATGTTTGTAAGGTGTTCTTTTGAAGATATTTGTTCAAAATAAAACAATCTAAAAATTGTTTGTTGGAAAGTAATTTGACTAGACTGAGAAATGTAAAAAAAAATCTTTTGTGGGTAAATACGATTTTTCAAAAGACACCAAGCAATAATTGCATGATTATACCGTTAAAAGGCAGCAATCTGATGTGAGATGGACTGGGTATGGATGCCATAGCACTAAGTAACTACTAAGCGACATGATAGATATTTTACTTGATATCGTTTGAGAGACTAGGGTCATCATCGCTGCTGCAACGTTAACCTGACTACTATGGTATAACCATCAACCTTATATCAGCATAATAAAGATGTGCAATCAGCTTCCGAAAATTAGTTTGCACGCAAGAAGGCCATTTGAGGGTTTTGAGTGTGTAACAAAGACATCAGCAAATTCGACTGCAGTATGTAAGACGGCAATTTCGATTTCCTCGTGTCGATGAGGCAGATGTCGTATTTGCGAATTGAAATAGGGATTGCTGCGTTAGCAATTCTGTCTAGTGTATTTCTTTATTTCCTATTAAGTTTATGTCCGAATTTTCAAGGTAAAAATTATGCAGCTCTCGATGCAATTTTCAATTAAGCTCCAGAAAATCATAATTAATCTAGATGTTGAGCTCAAAATTGTTTGCTTGATTAAAGCATCAAATGAAATGACATCAAATCAATTCTACTAGTAAAAATTCGCCTTGTTTAGGGCGCCTAATTTTAACCTTGATTTTATGCCACTTTCGAATAATCAATAAAAAGTATTTAAGTCAAAATCTTTGTCAATTGAAAAAGATTTAACTTTGCCTTTCATGAAAATTCTTCGTTCGTTTTCATTTTTTATTATTTGGGTGAGGTGGGCTATAGTGCTTTATTTTTCCATTTATTGTCCTATTATTTTCTGATTTATGAGATGGAGCTTGAGGTGGGTGCCCTTTGGTAATGGCGTTAAATAGAAAGAATATTTTACATATTTATGCATTCGATGATAGGCAATCTAGTTTTTCCTGTGTACATATACATACCTATAAAGATAAAAAAACAGAGGTCAAGTTCAAAAACTCCACTGAAACAATACATAAGAGCGGCAGAGCAGATACTGACCTCTAAAACGTTAAAGATTGGATCAGATTGGAGAAATAAACATCCCCTGTCCAACGGCCACACCCAAAAGTGTGCTAAAAGATAAGGTACAGCTATTTAGAGCAGATACTGACCTCTAAAACTTTAAAGATTGGATCAGATTGGAGAAATAAACATCCCCTGTGCAACGGCTACACCCAAAAGTGTGCTAAAAGATAAGATACAGCTACTTAGAACTGAATTAATGTATGTCTTGCATGATCAGAAATTTTTAATGAAAAAAGACATAAACAATTTTTCACTTTAGATTACATTCATTTATTTATTAATTTACATTATAATGTTAACTAAACATTCAGTTATAATTGAATGTCAGATACAATCTCTTATAAAATTATGTGCTTGTTTAATCATCTCACTAAGTCTTGAAAATTTCGAGATCCCGAAAACGAATGTTTTCTTTCAACGTTTTTGTCTATTTATGCCTTTGAGGGAACTATAGTCTCCCGTGTTCCTCTTCTGTCTGTTCTGTAAGTAGGTTTCGGAAATAAAAAAGTCGGGATTCTAAGATTTCTTCGGAAGTTCTCAGAGAGAAAAGCATACAACAGTGGATTTATACAACTATTGGCATAAGCTAGGCAGTTAGCAGCTATCAAAACGGCTGTGGATCCTATAGTTATTTTGCTATCAGTAAAGGTCTGTATGATCAAAATAACTTGAATCGGAAGCCAGCAAATTGCAAAGGCTACAACAAAGGTGATCACGAACTTTTTCGTTCGTTGACTTTTCTTTCTTAAGTGAGAACGATGGCGCAGTGATTTTAGAAGACAACCGTAACACAAATTTATCAATGAAAGCGGAAGTGCATAACCAAACGAAAAGAAACAGCCGTAAAAAACCTTAAACACAAGTTTGTTTTTGAGGCCGGCAAGATTGTTGCAAGCGGATCTTTCTTGCCCCATCCACTTGTAATGTATAACACCGTACTGGAAAAGAACTGGAATATTACCACAACTGATCAAAGCCCATGTAAGGAAAACCAGAATATACGTATTTCGACGATTTCTAATTCTTTTTGAGAGTATTGGATGAACAACAGCGATGTATCTATCGAACGATAGAAGAACCAAGGTCCAAACACTTGCATAGGCACAAACGTGTGATATAAAGTTAACAAGTTTACACCAAATGTTTCCAAATGGCCAGTACGACATTGCGTAGTTCGAAGCGGTGAATGAGGCACAAAAAACAACAAAGAGAAGATCAGCAGAGGCAAGACTAACAACCAGGATATTCGTAGTATTTTGCAGTTTTTTCTTTGCCAGAATAACAGTGATGACTAATGCGTTTCCTATGAATCCCAGAAGTACTATCAGTCCAAATATGACTGGAATTACACGTTGGACAAGTCTCTCAAATTCGATGAATTTGTTGTTGCTGTTGGGTTGAAATTGCTCTTCGCCTGTTGTTAAGTTATCCAACGAGATGTTCAGTATCATCCTGATCTGAAATTTGGAAAGTCTGAAATAATAGAGAATTCGAGTTAATTTAATGTGTTACATCAAGTAAAAAAAGTTGTATTAAAATAACTATCATTTCTACCAATTTAAATGTTAATTGCAAACAGCTTGAATTTTAATAGATAAGAATACATTTTATGTGATAATAAAATTATATATTAATGCTGCAATACTATATTTTCACATAAAGAACATCTACTCACCTAACAAATGAAGAAATGATGATTTATTAGAGCTAGATATATTTATATAGCTTTTCTGAAAACAATTAAATGCCAAACAAGTAATTCATGTTTTAGGTATTATCACCAGCGCAGTTATTGATGATCGCTGGATCTGTCAATCAAACGCTTCAAATGGATGAGCATTCTTCAATGGTTAAACAAGATACGTGTAATAATACTTTTTTTTCACGAGAACATAAAATGAAGGTAAGAGGTATATACAGGTAAATAAAATTGTGAAAAGAATTTTTTTTCAAAACATTCACCTCTGTTGTTATAAGAGGTCCATGTTTGCATGCTTTGCTCACAATTTTTATTGTTTCAATGGACTTTTGAGCTTGATTACTACGCAGCTAGGTTAAGGACGCCCATGAAATATAATTTTAATATATTTTTTTAACAGCATTAGTTTTGATAAATGTGATTTGTGGTGCTTGCACTTGTATATATCGGGTCTCTGCTGAGTTCGGCCAAAGCGACATCGCTTACATCAGCTGTTTGCCACGTGACAGTTTTAAAATTAGAACATATATGTACTACTACAAAGATCGTAAAAGTTCAACGATATACGGGCATTTCACCGCTATAAAATTTATTCTGTTTTCTTTGAGACAAATTCCTTAACACGAAAAGTGCTGGGAGCAGCTTCCTCATGCTCGGGAATTGTTTAAAATTTAGCCGTCTTTCTATAAATTCCAGTCAAAAATATAATTCGCATTGGAATAATGTTACATTAAGGAATAAATCAACAATTCACAACCAGCTCCCAGCACTTTTCAGAATAGTAGGAATAATAGCTATAAGTGTTTAAAAAATTCAGAACTTATAGTGAAGCGGATATCGTTGAACTTTTGATATTTTCGAGGGGCTGGACCTGTCATTCTTGCACGTTACTGCACAAATGTGCTCCCTGCGGCTTTATATAAAGTCTACACATTATCAATTTAGTTTGACGATAAAATGTGGATTAATATATTTCAGAATATGTCTCTCTTTTGGTCCGACTACGCGTGTTTCATATTTATTTTTATTTTTACAAGCTACGATAAAAGCTTGATCCACGCTTGAAGTACAGAGAAACTGCGTGTCAAACTAAGAAATGACGTCATCTAAGTAAGTACAGTGAGATCAAGCTGGCTTTCATTCTACATACGCTAAGTGCTATTATGGCAAGATCCATTTATCTTTATAATATTTATGATAAACGAAAATATTTAGTGTGTTTTAAAAAGAACATATAGTATTTATTCATCGAGATTCATTTCTATTGTTTTAACGTGACGTCATAATAGCTTTACCGAACCTCTGCATAGGCTGACGTAATATATATATGGGAGTCCTTAACCTAACTGCGTATTTGTTATCTTCATAATTCATAATAACGTATTCTGTGAGACAAGAATAGATAATTCTATAAAATAAGCACCTTTTATTCATATCTGTGGAAAAGATACGTCACTCAATTTGTTTATATTAAGCCCTTTTTTGGTTTATCATACTGCATAAAAAAACAAGTTCGTGTCGTCCATATATCATTTGCTATGCAACAAAAGCTAGACAAACTTAATATAGAAGCGTTACTCGGTTTTCCAAAAATTTTCTTCAAACTTCAAAAATATTTCAAAACTTGTCAGTTCTTTATTGGGTATGTTCTTGTCTATCGAAGCTATGAGATCCGAAAATCACGCAGTTTGGTCTTCAGGTATGGAAATGATGCAACATCTACCTGACATATTTCAGTACTCCAGTAGTTCAAAAAAAATCATCTGGTACATTTTATACGACAGTTCTATCCGCTCGTGACTTATCTCTAGCAGCATCCAAAACTTTGGTACTTTCCCAGTCTGTAACGACATTATAACATCTCGGTGCTCCTAGGCATTCAATAAAGTTGCCAGTTGTTTTGCTATATGTAGGTGTTTAACATTCATTTTAAGTTAGTGATGAAGCAAACAGAATTAAATTTTCTATTTCATTATTGAATTCAAATCTTCTCCAGTTGATGTTAATTTTCCCGTGTCTTCATTCTTGATGACAGGACAGACATGTACATTTGAAGTGACAAAATCCATTACAAAAGGTGTAAGGATGTTTATGTCTAGAAATACAGAAAAAACCCATTCATGTGAGTAGGGGAAAATGTATATGTATTTGCATTATTGACTGGATATCGTGATATATACCCTAGCTCGGTCTATGCACGTATGCAGATGAAATATATGGAGATATCGAACAGTATTCAAGCTCAAAAGTCCATTAAACATTACAAAATAGTAGCAGAGCAAACACGGACCTCCAAAACATCTGAGGTGAGATCAGGTGCCATGGAGGAGTGAGCATCTCCTGCCGACCGGTCACACCCGCCGTGTGCTCCTTGTCATGATCGGGAAATAACGGAAAAATCCGTCGACAATTCAGATCTCACAAGTCTGGATCGCTTTACCAGACAAAGATCACAGGCGAGTATATTGCCCGATATTCAGTCAATAGCTTAAAGATAATCACTGTAAATGCACAAATTTTCTTGGGGAAAAAAATTCGTTGATTTGTCATCTAAAAAGGCTTCGTTTCTCGAAAGTAACCCTATTCATTATATATAGTGATATAAAAATTTTTGCATGGAATTCAAATTCGTTAATAATTGTTAACAACGAAATAAACGAAATTTAATGCCCGACGAATATTTCTCCTTTAACAGCAATGAAAATATATATTAAATGCAAATACAATAAATAATTTAGGAGCGTGGATTTTTTTAATTGCTCGTTTGAATGTGTATTTAAGTACTGTGAAATCACTTATTTTCATCGGGTTTAATTTTCGTTGTTTTCGAGGAAGGAATAGACCCATAAATTCATGTGCACCACGAAACGTGAAATTGTCATTTGAACAACTAACCAACTATTCTACAACCATGAAATCAAATCCCCTCAAACGAAGACAATTTGACGCAACGAAAATATGTTGTTTTACAGTAGTTTTACTTCAGAACTATGTCGCACAGGAGCTCGTTATTTTCTTTGTTTTTACCTAGGGATTTTATAAGAATTTTTTTTGTAGGGTCAGTGGTTGTTGTTTTGACCGTTTTTTAACAAAAGCAGTGACAGAAACATCTTTAAAGACAAGACACGAAGAAAATACTTCATGAATTCATTCAGATTGTAACCCCAACCACCCATGCAAGTAGGCTTCAATGTGCAAAAATTGTTGGATCCGCCCTGATATTAGTCTAAGAGCACATACAGATATGGAGAGAATTAACCCAGGTAGAAGATTAAATGACCTGCAGTGAAATGCCCTACCGAGAAATGGCACTGAAGAGAAATAACATAGAAGAAAAGGGGTTTTATAGAGGAATGACTCGACGCCACCAGTTTTACAAGATTAACTCGGTCGAATTATGAAGGAATCTGGGCATTTTGATATACTCTATGAATACGATATAACTCTTGCTTAAATAGCTTGTATGGAAAACTATCTACATTTATTCAGAGTTATCATTCTTTTGTATCACTTGTAACAATACATCGAGTTTTTTGTGTATTCAAAACAGGCCAAACAATGCAGGAAGATGTAATACTAGTGTCTGAAGAAAACAAGACATTTTAAGATACGTTTTGTGTATTTTGAGGGTAGAGTGAGTCTATGATCCATGTTTTTGTTAATCAAAATGTAGATTGTTTTTTTTTATAAACAAACTATGTAAAAACTTGTGTTATACTATGAAGAAATGATCTTTGGTGTGTGAGTGCTATTTAATAGACAAATAATTAAATCATTTTTGACATTGTTGCAAATAGTAGAGAGTTTACATAAAGTTTACATTCATACTGACTGAAATATCAAAGAAAACTGTCCTAGGATTTTTTTTAAATATTTTCATAGGTAAGGTCATAAATACAAATATCATAATAGCAATTTGTCCCCAGGAGAGTGTAAGACAGTCAGTCAGTAAGTTTCAAGCCTCTAAGAGGATTACCGGACAAGGGGTGTGATATCCCTAAAACGACAGATATGCTAAAATCAAATTCAATTTGAGACCTAAGTATAGAGCAGCATTCAAATTATTGAACGGTATGAAGCTATGACAAACAAATTTTTTTCTGTGGAAAAATCCTCTCGGTGAAGGTTTTTGTTAACCAAAATGTACAATTTTTCGCAAACTTTGAGAATATACTTTAAAAAATATGGAGCAAAGACCCACTCACATCGAAAAACTGTGTTACAGTATGAGAAAAGTACCCCTATGCTATTTAATAGGCAAATAATTTTAATCTCTGTGAGATTTTTGCAAATTATGGAGATTTTTTATTAAGTATATTAATGTTAGGTGAAATATCGATGAACATTTTGCTATAATTGAGATTTTATTGTTCACCTTCCTGACTCTCTAAGTATGGGTATATTTGGAAATGATATTTCTAATCAAGTAATAATTCCTTTTAATATTAAAAAATCATTTGAGAAAGGTGATAAACGGTACAAAACAATTTTGAATTTCAAAGGAAAGTACTTTGTTTTACAACAGAAAAACTGTTTGATTTTCTATGGTGAAAACTTTCTTTGATTTATTTCGAGGGGTGATCAAAAAAATTCTCGAAGTATCGCAGTGACTGCAAAACCACAATTCAGAACAGAATGAAATTTGGCAGATATATACTTATAAACGTGTTCTATAAATAGATGTGAAAATGACGTTACTATATAGATGACATGTGACAAACGATGATTGAGTCAGACGTACTCGAACAAGGA